TCAGCCTCCCAAGTAGCTGGGACCACAGGCGCCTGCCACAACGCCTGGCTATTTTTTGGTTTCAGCCATCATTGTTGTTTGGCAGGCCTGGGCTGGATTGGAACCTGCCAACCTTAGGGGTATGTGGCTGGCACCTCAGCCACTTGAGCCACAGGCGCTGAGCCCATGTATAAGTACTTATTTGAATATCTGTAGTCTATTCTTTTGGACATATACATATATATATAGGAGCAAAATTGCTGGGTCATGTGATAATTCTATGTTTAACTTTTGAGAAACCATTTAACTATTCCAGGAATCACTGAACCACCTTATGTTCTCAATTCCCACCAGCAATGTACAAGGGTTCCAATTTCTTCACATCCTGTCAACATTTGTTATCACCTTTATATGTGTATATATATATGTATACACACACACACACACACACACACACAAACACACACACACACGATAGCCAGTGGACATGGAGTGGCATCTCATTAATTTGCATTCTCTAAAGGATGAAAGTATCTCTTCACATGCTAGTTGGCTATTTATACAGGATTTTTCTTTGGAGAAATGTCTATTCAGATCCTTTGCCCTTTTTTTTGAAACAGAGTCTCATTTTCCAAAATAAAACTAGGAAGTAGGAAAGAGAAACAGAGAAAGAGAAACTCCGTTTCATTGCATCCATCCATTATCTTTTTTATTTTCTACCACACGTGCTTATTAGCTACATGAAAGAATTTTTAAAATATTTAGATTTTTGAATATACTTTTAAAATTTCTTTGCTAATGATTTTTCTTAACAAATATACAGGCAACAAAGGCAATATAAAAATGTCTCAGGGGAGAGATGTTAGTATCTTCATCACTTAGTGAAAAATATACTGGTCTAGAACCTGACAGCACTGACATTCACAACCTATGGCCTCAGGACAAATCTTCCTAGACCTCAGTTTACTCATTTGATGAGAAATTAAAAAAAAAAAAGAGGGAGATCAAACTAAAACATTTAGAAAGTACTTTCTACCTAAAATACCATGATTCTATAATTCTCATCAATTTTGTTATTTTAAATTGGTATATACACATACAGGACAATGCACAGTCTATTTGATCATGCAATATTCTGAAAACAAGAGCTTCATAAATCTTTCACAAGGTACATAACCAATGTATACCTGTCTAAGTTAGTGACACCAGACGAGTAGTCCTTGGATCCAGCTCTGCTACCATAAAAAGATGATGACTGCAAAGGTAAAAGCCCTATAAAACAAATGAACACATTGCATATCAAATCATCACATTGTACCCCATAAATGTATATACTTATGATTTAATAGAAATTAAGTAAAAAAAAAAAAAATGAACAAAGGAAAAACTTAATGCCTCAATCAACCATTCATGTTCATTCAATAATAAAATCATACATTGGGCTACTTCTTTTTTCCCCTTTTTTTAATTGAAGCAATACAACCATACATTGTTTTACTTTATTGAGCTTCGCAGATATTCTAATTTTACAAATTGAAAGTCTGTGACAATTCCAGTTTGAGCAAATCAATCAGTGCCATTTTTTCCTTTTCTTTCCTTTTTTTTTTTTTGATGGGGTAAAAGGCTGGAATGCAGTGGCTATTCACAGGCCTGATCTCAATATTGATCAGCATAAGAGTTTTGAGCTCCTCTGTTTCTGACCTGGGCCAGTTCACTTCTCCTTAGGCAACCTGGTGGTTTCCAGCTCCCTGAAGGTCACCAGATCAATGCCAAACTCAGTGGGACCATCCAATCAATATACTGTACTATAGACCAGAACTCCTGGACTCAAGCAATCCTCCTACCCCAGTCTTCTGACTAGCTGGGACTATAAGCACATGCCACTGTGCCCAGCCATTTTTCAACAGTATATGCTTACTTCATGTCTCTGTGTCACATTTTGGTAATGCATCTGTTATAATGATCTGCGATTGGTGATCTTTGATGTTACTTTGTTAATTGTTCTGGGGCACCATAAACCACACCTGAGTAAGATAGCAAAATTAACTGATAAATGTCGTGTGTTCTGACTGCTTCCCCGTCCCTCTCCCTCTTCCTGGGCGCCCTATTCCCTCAGTCACAACAATATTGAAATTAGGATAATTAATAACCCTACAATGACCTCTAAGTGTTCAAATAAAAGAATAAGTTGTATATCTCTCACTTTAGGCCAAAAGTTAGGCTTCTTCTACCAGTTAACCAATTTATGAATGCAAAGGTAAAGCTCTTAAAGGAAAATAAAAGTGCTACTTCAGTGAACATATGAACAATAAAGCGAACCAGTTTTATTGCTGATGTGAGGAAAGTTTTAGTGGTCCAGGTAGAACTTCAAACTGGCCATAGCATTCCCTTAAGCCAAAGCCCAATCCAAAGGAAGGACCTAACTCTGTTTAATTTTGTGAAGGCTAAGAGAAGTAAGGAAGTTGCAGAAGAAAAGTGTAAAGATACCAGAGGCTAGTTCGTGAGATTTAAGGGAAGAAGCCTTCTCCATAACAGAAAGTGCATGATGAAACAGCAAGTGCTGATATAGAAGATACAGCAAATTACTCAGAACACCCAGCTAAGATAATAAATGAAGGGCGTTACATTAAACAGATTTTCAATGCAGACAAAGCAGCCTTATAGTGGAAGATGTTATGTCAGATTTTCATAGCTAGAGAAAAGAAGTCAATGTCTGGCTTCAAAATTTCAAAGGACAGGCTGACTTGTGTTAGGAACTAATGCAACTGGTGATTTCAAGTTGAAGGCAATGTTCATTTACCATAGTAAAAAATCCCAGGGCCCTTAAAAATTATGCTAAATCTAGGCGGCCTGTGGCTCAGTGAGTAGGGCGCCAGCCCCATATACCAAGAGTGGCAGTTTCAAACCTGGCCCTGGCCAAAGTGCAACAAAAACTAGCCAGGCGTTGTGGCAAATGCCTGTAGTCTCAGCTACTTGGGAGGCTGAAACAAGAGAATGGCCTAAGCGCAAGAGCTGGAGGTTGCTGTGATCTGTGATGCCATGGCACTCTACCAAGGGCAACAAAAGACTCTGTCCCTAAAAAAAAAAAAAAAAGCTAAATCTACTCTGCCTACCCATGCTCTATAAATGGAAAAACAAAACTTGTGCATATCTGTTTATAGCATTTACATGTTAACTGAATGCTTTTTGTTGTTGTTTGCTTGTTATTGAGATAGAATTTTATTTTGTGGCCCTTGGTAGAGTGCCAGGGCATCACCGTTCACAGCAACCTCAAATTCTTAAGCTTAAGTGATTCTCTTGTCTCAGCCTCCCAAGTAGCTAAGACTACAGGCACCAGCCCTAACACCTGGCTTTTTTTGTTGTTGTTGTTGCAATTGTCATTGTTTTTTTAGCAGGCCCAGGCTGGGTTGAAACTGCCAGCCTCGGTATATGTGGCCAGCGCCCTACCCACTGAGCTACAAGTGCCACCCATTTACTGATGTTTTAAGCCTACTGTTGAGACCTAGTGCTCAGCAGAAAAGATTCCTTTCAAAATACTATTGCTCATTGAAAAAGCACCTAGTCTCCAAAAAGTTCTGATGGAGACACACAAGGAGATTAATGTTTTCAATGTTTAACACAACAGCCATTCTGCAGCCCACAGATCAAGGAATGATTTCAACTTTGAACTCTTCAAATTTTTTTTGTTGTTGCAGTTTTTGGCTGGGGCCAGGTTTGAACCCTCAACCTCCAGTATATGGGGCTGGCGCCCTACTCCTTTGAGCCACAGGTGCCACCTCAACTCTTCTTATTTAAAAAATAAATTTCATTAGGCTATAACTGCCACAGAGAAGACTCCTTTGATGGATCTGGGCAAAGTCAATTAAAAACCTTCTGGAAAGGATTCAATATTCTAAATGTCATTAAGAACATTGGTGACTGTGTAAAAACAGCAATCTTAACAGGGTTTGGAAGAAGTTGATAACAATTCTCATAGATGACTTTGAGTGGTCAAGACATCAATGCTTGAAGCAAACTACAGATGTGGTAGAAACAGCAAGAGAACTATACTTAGAAGTTGAGCCTGAAGATGTTACTGAATTGCTGCAATCTCTTGATAAAACAGATGAGAAGTTGCTTTACATACGTGAGCAAAGAAAGTGGTTTACTGAGATGGAATCTACTCCTGGTGAAGATGTCAAAATGACAACAAAGGATTTAGAATACTACATAAATTTACTTGAGAAAGCAGTGGCAGGGTTTGAAAGAACTAACTCCAATTTTGAAAGAAGTTCTATTGTGGGTAAAGTACTACCAGAAATCATCACATTCTACACAGAAATCTTTAGTAAAGGAAGTGT